TAGTGGTAGCATTTCATTAATTTTTACTTTTACGCCAAAGTTTTGGAAATGTGGAAATTTGAGAAATGACAAAAATAAGTATATGCTCTTTTCATAATTACAAAATTTTAAAGATGAATTACTTTTTTATTTTAGACAAGATCTTGTTATGTAGTCCAGGCTGTCCTTGAACCTGGTATGTAGCCCAAGCTGGTCTCAAACTCATTCTCCTCCTGCCTCGGCTTCCCAAGTACCAGGCTTGTAGGTGTGTACCACTATGTGAAGTCTTAATGATGGTTTAAAAAAAAAAAAAACCTCAGGGAAGCTATTCTTTTCATTATGAAATAATTGAACCAAGAGAAGTTCCAAAGTTCTAGGGTGAGGTCTCTATGTTTTCAGGGCTTCCACTCTTAAGGCAGAAAGAAAACAGATACTAAAACAGTATCACTGGATGCATGGGGAAATGTGGGTAACTCCTAGATCTAGAGTCCTGAGGAGCAATCTTTAAGCAAATGCTGGAGATGCTCTGGCAATCTCTGATACCATTAATTCTGAGGTTTCTCCTGTTCTCTTTAGAGTCCCTCCCCTCCATGACCTTTATGAGGTTATGCTTTGCATTCTTCACATAGTAGTTAAGAAGAGCATGGGTTTATTCTGAATATCCACTCTCACCAGAGAAGGCTCAGTCACATGCAGCTAAGTGTCCACTCATCGAATCCTGATTGACCCCATATTGCATACCACATTCTTTACAGAGTTGATGGAGTACTACACAGACACTGGAACACATTCCTTTCTGTGTAGGTGTGGGATTTCTTTGCCTGAGGAAGAATCTCTTCTTTTTTCCCCTCCTCACCACCCAGCCAACACACACACACACACACACACACACACACACACACGCACACATTACCACAACTACACATGGAAAGGCTCGCCTCTCGTAGACTTTGGGCTACTTGTGGTTGAACAAGTAGAAGGCTCTGTTTCCTATCAAAACTGTCACCTGCCTCCTTGGTTTTATTTCTTCCATCCAATGTGGCATACCTGCCTTCCAGACAGTTGATGAATATCACCCCTATACAAAAATCTCCTATCTCTCTTAGATAGTAACTAATTATAACTTGGTAATTCATTATACACATGCCCCTATCTTTTAAAATTTATTTATTTTTATTTAATGTGTATGAGTGTTATGCCTGTGTGTATGCATGTGCACCCATATCATGCAACCCCCACAGAAGCCAGAAGAGAGTGTTGCATCCCCTGGAAATAGAGTTACGGATGGTTGTTAGTCACTGTGTGGGTTCTGGGAATCACCGTGTGGGTGCTGGGAATTCAAGAGCAGTCAGTGTTCTTAACCACTGAGCCATCTCTCCAGCCCCCATCCTCCTATCTTAACAAGATTGTACATTATTGGTCAAATTCCATAAGTCAGCGTACCCTATGTTTAAAAATGCTATATAGTTTTCCACTGACAATCTCAAATGATTATTATTCTAGCTACTCTAGTAATGAAAATTTTCATTTTCAGTTCATTATTTTTCATTTTGAAAACTTTTGAGAGAATTTAGAGACTCCTCCAGTCTCTGTGTCAAAAGCTGCTGTGCAGTCCTCCTGGAGCATATTTTTCTGTTTTCATTTGCACTTAGAACAGATTTCCCAGTCCTATCTGATGAGGTACCATTTAGAACAATACATAGCTTACACTTACCTGCTTGTGTCACTATGTGGTGCACACACATGTATTAGTCAATTATAGGATACGTGGGTTTATCTACAGATTAGAATTCATTCATAACCACAGCAGGGGTACACACAGTAGGAACTATAGGAGTCCAGGAGCAATGGAGAGTTAAGAAGGACAACTTTGTCAAAAGAGACAGACTTTGCTTCTAACTGAAGAAACAGCAGAGCAAAAACACAAAGGCAAGAAACCCCAAAGATGTGGCCAAGGAAATGCCTCAGGGAAAAAGGAACATGCTTACTTTTCATGATGATTAATTCCTACTTACCAGGTTCATTGCAGAGGGAATAACAGAATACTTAAATCATTTGAACTAGTTGGCATCTAACAGTCCTTCCAGGCTTTTCTTCTGGTCACTGGAGACCTGGAGATGAAATAGAGTAGCCTGTCCTCAAGAAAGGACCTGACAATAAATACGTAAACCAGGAAATGGACAATTAAGACAGAGCATGATACCAACATGTTTTACAAGTTGCACTGCAAGAACAAAACATGAAATACTTATTCTGCTGAAGAGGGAGGGGAAGAAGGTTTCGGGGTTAGTGTACGGAGACTTCATGGAGGGCTTGAGAAGTGAGGCAGGATCTCCAGGAAGATTACAACAGTATTGGCAGAGAGAACAGCATAAACATAGGTCTGAAAGGATGCTATGGATTTGGGGATTAGCTCAATTGAGCTCAGTAAATACGTACTGAGTGCTACTCCACACTATGGAGTGATATGACCAAGATGAATAACAAACAGTTTTGGATGCTTAAGATGTTTCCTGTGGAGAAATCCTGTTTCAGTGGAGAAAGATTCACACAGGCACCCAAAATTGCATCGTAACAGTACAGCTCCTTTGAATTCTGATTGTGTCCTTGAACCCTAGTATTCTGGTGCCCAGGAGTTTGGGGGAACTCTCCTGTGGAAAAGGAGCCCACAGGCACAGCACCTGGCTGAATTTCACATTAGGCCTCACTTGCTTTTTTTAAGAGTTCTGACATTTGTGACCAGAAGCAGATAGCAAGTTACACAAAACCACAGATAGGATCCAGGACACATACCTAGGTCTGTCTGCCTCTTGCCAGGTTTCCTTTTTTGCTCCTCTCTACTGGATCCCAAGCACAGAGTCACCATGTTATTAACCAGGAATGAGAAATTTTTTGGTAATTAGAACTGTTTCACCAATTGTGATCACGAAATTAAACTTATAGAAGAGGGACATACTAGAGCCTTCTCTCCTGTGTGAGAAGAGTGCCAAGCCATGCAAGCTGGCTTGGACAAGACACCTTGAGTCAATCTTCCCACTGCTAGGTTCCGCATTAGGGAACGGAGGCTGTCTGGCTTTACATTCCTCCTGGCTGACATGCACAAGTGTGTATTTCATTTCAGCATGAGAATTCATGCTCACTATAAAGATCAATGACATCTTGGCGTTTCATTGTTTGCTTGAAGTAAGCTGGGATGATTTATGAGCTGATGGGAAAACAGCAATGTGTGGTTGAGAAGGCCTCAAAAGGATACAGACCTGCTTTTAGAACCATACGATGTCAGAATCAACAGGTAGAGAGAACTTAATGAAGTTTTAATTATAGCAGATCAAAGTTAAAAGGAGATCACCATGAAGACAAGGAAATTTGAGACCAGGTGAAACAAAGACAAAGGAATTGGGAATACTTAGCATAGACAGATAGACACAGCTATTGTCATGGGCTTGGACAGCTAGAATCACGGATGCTGTCATTAGGAAGTAGCCCTTTGTCCTGTTCAAAGGAGAACTGACGGACCAATAAAATAAGGAGTTCCTGTCAAAGAAAGGGGTAGAACAGAAACAGTTCAGACACCTGGGGAGGGTGCATTGAAGAAGGGATTCTGCAGGTGGTAGGTCACACATAATGAGCTCTGAGTTCTGAGTATTTATGATTCTATAAAAATAGAAGCAGCAGACTGTGGATCAAGAGTCAGATGTTTTGTAATAAAAGCACCACCACCAATACTAAACTTATGAATTAATACGTTGTTACTGTTATGAATTACTGCATTGACATATTTTAGACTCTAGAATCAGGATTAGAGCTGGCTGAATTCTATTCCTGGTCCTGTCAGTTAGTGAAGATGGGGCCTTGGACAAGTGATTTCTCCTTTCTGAATGCCATCACCCTTTCCCTCTACAATACTCGGAGTGGTTCTGCCAGAAGTACGCAAGGAAATGACACATCAAGGCTCCTGGGACTGTGCCTGTCTGTTACACAGCATCCGACACATGCTTCTGCCTTCCTTTCTGATTAAGCTGAATTTCAGGAGGCTGTTTTTAGAAAGAGGCTAGATAAAGAGGGTGAGGTGAAATACAACAAAGTATCCACTGGAGGAAAGCTAGCTGCTCAAAAGTTCCTGCAGTTTGAAGCCCACATCAATGGTTCTCAAAACAGTTTGTTTAGATCCTTTAATGAAAATAAAATATAGATTTTCAGTATTTCTCTTAGAAAAGACAAAGAGGTCAGTGGGAAGACCGGGATTTAAGGAATCCTGATTGGAGTCTTCAAGTTCACAACAACATGAACCTCCTCTTAGACCCACTTCTCTGCTGTCAGGTTCACATAGCGTCCAGCCCTACGCAGCTCTTCCCAGCAAGCAGGGGGAGGACTGTGCCAGATGACAGGCTCTGTGAGATGTTGTTGATCATCTTAGCCTTTGGGTGGGTAACCATAACCAGCTGCCTCCAAACACAAGGATCCTTATCTGTGTAATCTAGTGTGTTTGACAGATTTTGCCCAAAACAAAAAAAAAAAAAAAAAAAAAAAAAGGATTAAACTAGAGAAGAAATACTTGGATCACAAGCAACTGACATTATTGAATACTTTCAAGAAATAAACCAACCCCAAAGTACCTTGATTAGAAAGAAGTTACTGGAAATTAATAATAACACAGCCACCTAAGGCAAACGGGGTGCCAGTGTATCACAATCAACCAACACAATCACTATGAGCAGGGGCTACGGGCATGGGGTACAGAAGATGGTGCCTGGTTGGACACCGGAAAGAGATTTTGTTAAGCCACATCTTTTTCAAGGTCCTGTAAGTACAGTACAGGTTTATCTGGAAGTTCTTTCAGGTCTTCTCAAAAATGTTTTCCATTATCACCTCTTGGATGGAAGGTCCTTTGTAGAACCATGTTCTATAAAATATATGCTGCTGTGTATCTGAACATCATTTTGTATTTCTTCCCTGCCCTGCTAAGCACACGTTTGGCCGTGAGGCAGATCAGCACACTAATCATTTGTTTTCTTTTGCAGCAACAGCGGCAGCTTGACCTCCTGACAATAACCAGACCTGGTGAGTAAAAGCTGAGCACCATACTGCCACTGTCTCCCACTGTGGTGCCTGCTTGCCTCTCTGAATGCAATTCCCACCCTCCTCCTTTGACTCTCTGAATGAAAACATGATTTTTTTCACATAGCAAATGAATATCCTTTCTCTCTCCTCTGGGCCAGGATACTTTCCTTCCTCCCTCCTGGCTCTGTGCTGCCCTCTTCTGACTGAAGGTGCCAGGATGACTTTATTACTGCATTCTCTGTGGGCAAAATTCTCCCCCAAATCGCTCATTGGACTCACATGTCAAGAAATTGTTCTGGTCTCGTTTTAAAATTAAATAGGGAGTGGAAAAGCTGCCTAGAAGGTGCTGGAGAATGAAAGAGGCTAGTTCGTGAGCAATGGTCAGTCTAGGAAGGTCACTGGCCTTGCTGAGGGTTAAGGCCACTATTGTCTCTCACCTTAGGGGAGAGTCAAGTTTCACAAAAAAGTTGAGATCCTGGAATTAAAAGGTCCTTTCTTTCCCTGAGGCTTGACATCCAGTCCAGTGAGAGGGTGAACGTTTTAGTTTTGTCAGAGAGATCTCTTACTTTGGTTTGAAAACTGGAGGTTAAATTGGGTGAGAAAAATAATTTTCTCTTAGGACAGAAAGGATAATAGTGCCAGAGAGTTCATGAGCACTTGTGAATGGGTGCGGTGGTTCATCTTCACTGATGGGTGGTATTCAAACCATTTAACAGCCAGGGTGACCACTGCCTGTGCCGGGCATTAACACTGTGTTACTGGACTGTGAAAAAATGGGATCCTGAAAGAGAAGCTAGTGTGATAGAGCGGACCTATGCAGGGGATAGCTCAGAGAATCACTCTCAATAGATGTGGAGGTATTTCAATATCTTAGTGGCTAATATGAACGAATTCTGTCTGCCCTGCCATCCATCAAGTCGTTATGGCAGGTCTTGGCAAAGAGTAGGAAACTGCACTCTGTAGGCAATATTCTGGCACAAAGGCTGGTCATGTGGTATGTGTACAAGACAGTGGCTACAAATGTAAGGTGTATCCACCTACTTCAGGCGGCCTCACCATATTTCCATGTGATAGAGATTTTTTGACTTGAGACATCAGAAGAACAAATATGGAAATCTTTTTTATCTGTTATTTTTACATTTATTTCTTTTTAATTTGTATGTGAATGTCTTGCCCATATGTCTGTGAGTGGACCTGTGCATGCCATATGCACAGAAGCCAGAAGAGGGCATTGGATCTTCTAGAACTGGAATTACATGTGGTTGTTAGCCACCATGCAGGTGCTAGGAGTTGAACCCAGGTTCTCTGTAAGAACAGCCAGTGCTCTTTTCGCTGAGCCCTCTCTCCAGTACCTTGATTTAGAGAAGGGTCTCATATAGTCCAGGCTGGCCTTGAGCTTACAGTGCTGCTAAGGATGACCTTGTACTCCTGATCCTCCTTACTCCACCTCCCAAATGCTGGTGTTACAAGTGTGCACTATCGTATCTGGCTGGAAATAATTTTTAAAATGTTTGATCTATCCTATAGAATAAGCTACATTCAAGATTTAGATGATTAACACCTATAGAAACCCCATACCTGGGCTGGTGTACCTGGAGTGGCTCACTTGAGTGACCTGCCATTTCCTCCTCACATAGGTACAGGCGTGGCTTTATCTTTGTCCAACCCATTTAGTTCCTTTATTTTGCAGTCATCTTCTTTCTGCTACATATACACTGCCCAGATGGCCTGTCTCTGTGTTCTGGTCTCATCCGATCATATCCTGAAGTGATTCCTACATATTGGCGAGGGTTCTTCCGTCTTCAGTTGTTTTAGAATGGCATTTTTAGACTATTAAACTGCATTTCTTTTGTGCTAGCTTTGGCTGCTCCTGAATATGGAAATCTTTTTTATCTGTTATTTTTACATTTATTTCTTTTTAATTTGTATGTGAATGTCTTGCCCATATGTCTGTGAGTGGACCTGTGCATGCCATATGCACAGAAGCCAGAAGAGGGCATTGGATCTTCTAGAACTGGAATTACATGTGGTTGTTAGCCACCATGCAGGTGCTAGGAGTTGAACCCAGGTTCTCTGTAAGAACAGCCAGTGCTCTTTTCGCTGAGCCCTCTCTCCAGTACCTTGATTTAGAGAAGGGTCTCATATAGTCCAGGCTGGCCTTGAGCTTACAGTGCTGCTAAGGATGACCTTGTACTCCTGATCCTCCTTACTCCACCTCCCAAATGCTGGTGTTACAAGTGTGCACTATCGTATCTGGCTGGAAATAATTTTTAAAATGTTTGATCTATCCTATAGAATAAGCTACATTCAAGATTTAGATGATTAACACCTATAGAAACCCCATACCTGGGCTGGTGTACCTGGAGTGGCTCACTTGAGTGACCTGCCATTTCCTCCTCACATAGGTACAGGCGTGGCTTTATCTTTGTCCAACCCATTTAGTTCCTTTATTTTGCAGTCATCTTCTTTCTGCTACATATACACTGCCCAGATGGCCTGTCTCTGTGTTCTGGTCTCATCCGATCATATCCTGAAGTGATTCCTACATATTGGCGAGGGTTCTTCCGTCTTCAGTTGTTTTAGAATGGCATTTTTAGACTATTAAACTGCATTTCTTTTGTGCTAGCTTTGGCTGCTCCTAATTGCTACTGCACAGATTAAAGCAGAGTAGCTGTGTGTCCCAGTGTACTCCTTTTAGACAGCTGTGGGATTGCAAAACTCTCAGCACTGCCAGAGTTTGAGTGGTTTATAATTATCCCTCCTCTTAGACGAAAAAAGAATGTCTTCTGGGTTAGCACTTCCCAAAAGAGATCTGTGGAACAGTAGTGTAAGAAATGGTCTTTACTTCAGAGCTGTACTGAGGTGTTGACCCACAAGCCTCTCGGGGGTACAGGTAGAGCCGAAGAAACAGCAGTTCTCTCAAGGCCTGGTCTCCAGTGGGCCAGGCAGTATTATCCATATGTGCCTTGACATGGAAAGGTGGGGAAACACCATTTGACCCTGTTTTATCTGGACTTTATTCTGAGTTGAAAGCGCTTCTGTTATCTGTCTCTGCCTATCCAACTCACTCCAATTCTCTACTTTACTGTAGCCAGTCAACAATGGGCTTGTTACTCTCTGGGGAGGTTTGTGGGCACTCACTTATCTGAACTCATCATTAAATTATCCAAAACATAGATCCATAGTCTAATGCTGCCATTCTGAAATAACACTTGGGAGTTTGGAAATCGAACAATCTTACAGCATCTTTTTTTTTAATCTTATTTGTGTATTGTGAATAATTTCAAATGTACAGAATAGAGATGTAAGCCATTTACTGTCCTTTCTGTGACCCTTGATTTTATCATAGTGCTGTGTGACATTTATGCCAGACTTTCTTATTTTTTAAAAAAAGATGTAAGAAACTGTTTTGCATTTTTCCTTTATTGATTTTTTCACTCCTTCATCCCAGGTAACCATTATTATGTATTCAATATTTCTCCTTATCTATGTATTAAAAATAACAGCTATTGTGTTATGAATTCCTACAACTATCACATTGGGGAAAAGTCACATTCCATGACTTTCCCATACTCATTATTGTTTTATACAGATTCATTCATATTGATGTACATGGTTCCCATACATTCATTTTAATTGCTGTATAATATTCCATATATGATTAGATTATAACTTTTCCATTTTATTGGTCATAATTTAGATAATTGTATGTGCCCTTATAAAAATTTCTCTAGAGCATATAACTTAGGAGATGAATTATTAATTATATACATCAAATTTGATGCATAGTGGGAAACTGTCCTCTAAAAGAGTTGAGCAAATTTACTGTTCCGGTAGCAGAATGTAAACATTCCTTTCTCTGGCTCCTTCATACTTGGAATTGCCAGACTTATATTTTTGTTCTTTCTTACATCTTTCCCTTTTTGCTATGTTGAGACAATATATTTTGATGGCATTGAGGATTTAGATCCACACTCTTCTCTGCACTGTCCTCCTACTGCCCCCACCCAATTTAATGAATGTATTATATGTAATGGCCTATAGAGTACGATTTGAGTCCCTCAGTGTCCTTGGATGTGAATCTATCCACTGGGCCCACCAAGAGTCCCAACCCTGTGAGACACTGTCTCTCCCCCTCCCAGCAGCCATCATTACCAAAAGTTCCTTAGGCTGGTTGGAATTTCTTATCCATTTCCCCATGTCTATGCTGGGATTTTGTCTGATTTGAGCCTGCATAGGATTTGTGCATGCTGTCCCATTGCTGTGTGTTCATATGAGTAAATGACCAGCTGTCTGGAAGACTCTGTTTCCTTGTACTCATCCACCCCTTCTGGCTCTTACAATCTTTCTGCCTCCTCTTCCACAATGATCACTGAGCCTTGAGAGGCAGAGATTTGAACTAACTGTCCTATTCAGGGATAAGTACTCTGTAGCCTCTGCTTTGTACACTGGTTAATTGTGGGTCTCTGTGTTAATTACCATCTGCTGTATAAGGAAACTTCTCTGATGAGGATCAAGAGATGCTTTAAATCAGCATAATGAACATAAACTATTCCATTATTACTATAGTACATGTCCTTGATTTCTAGTAGGGTTGAATATCTTTTTGTATGTTTATTGCAGTTTGATTCCCTGTGAGACTTGACTTTTCATATCCTTTGTGCGCATCCTATTGCATTATCATTTTATTGATTCTTAGTTTCTTAGTTTGAATCTATCCCTTATTCTCACTATGTCTTCTCATAGAGAACGGCTTGTGCTTCTTCATCATGGTTGGTTGTGATATGTTTTCGTATGTGGAAGGTTTTATTAAGTTAATGTTGTTGAGTTTAACAATCGCTTTGCTTTAAGAGCTTCACTTTGTTGGGCATGGTAGCACAAGCCTTTAATCCGCAGCACCCCAGAAGCAGATCTCTGTGAGTTCCTGGCCAGCCTGGTCTGCATAGCAAGTTCCAGGGCTGCATGGTGAGACCATGTCTCAAAACGAACAAACAAACAAA